CCACCTGCCTTTCACCAACACAAACAGACGTGAGAAACACACACACAGACAGTTGACAAATGCACATAAAACACACTTTGCTTCCTCTCTCTCTCTCTCTCTCTCTCTCTCTCTCTCTCTCTCTCTCTCTCTTTCTCTCTCACATGAACACACACACACATATCGAAAGATTCACTGTGCAGACACTCAGATGCTTAAGCAGTCACATTGTTTTTGGAGAAACAAAAAGGCCTTACTACTGTGAGCGGATCCTTGCTGCAACGGTGGGAGCCCAACTCCTATGCACTTTCACCCCATGGAGAGTCGAGCGCACCCAGAAAAAAAGCACCAGAGCTGAGGAGAAAAGGTGCAGAAGAAAAAGAAGATTGTAGACAGGGTCCATCTTTGACTTTCCCTCCATGGTGACCTGGCTGTGATGCTGCCTTGAATACGAAGCGCTTACACCTCCCTTAGGTACAAAACAATTCCTGTCTATTTAAAAATGAAAGATGGAGAAAAGAGGAAAAATAATGAAGCAAGCGTCATCATGAAGCGATTGATACCCTTTACCAAAGCAAACAGTTCAAACACGGAAAGACAAGAGACTGAGACTGTTTCAGCTTCAATGTCAGGTATATTTTTGAATATATATATATATATATATATATATATATATATATATTTCTATCTCAAAGGTGCCTGCCTGAACCTTTACTGAGTCCATATTGGCCCAGAGCCGAGGCTTGTGTAGTTCTCTCTCCTTGCTGGCGACACAAAACACTGTATCAGACTCAGTCACAGAGACATTATTGAAATGTTGACTGATTAAGAGCATTATATCTGCATCATTTTTGATGCTTTTACTCATGTGTACCACCCGTCTATTCTTTAACTTTCCTTGCTTCATTTTGTTTCGAGTGTGTGAATATGTTTGGCAGGAATGTGATAGAGAGAATGAGTAGGGAGAAAGAGAGCACATTTTTGATTATTAATATGTAAGTTTTGTGTATGTTTGTGCGTCCTTTCAGTGATGGTTGATTTCTAATCAGTGAAATATCCTCTGGTGTTTTAACATTGAGATCAGGAGTGCTGTTTCAATGAATGGATTCTTCATTTTTCCTGTTTTGATTCTAAATACTATTCTAAAGGCTACTCAGGATTCACGCAAAGTTGAATACTTATTTTGCAAGAATTTTACCATTTTAATCTGGGTGACTGAAGTAGTTTGTAATCTTTCAATGAACGACTTGACTACAAACAAATTCAAGCAATTGAAATCCTCAGTGACAGAGGAGCATACGGTCTCTCGGCCATTCAGACACTGTTTGCATAACCTTTTACAACCTCACTAGAGAAACGCTTATCTCCATTCTTAGCAGACAGCGAAAGTCTCTCCTGCAGCAACACCGTTTCGCAGTTTATTGGGTAATTTATTTTTCAATGTTCGATCTTCTCTGTTTTCAAGCAAACAGTACATATTTATTTATCTGTGTTTCAGTCAGCAGGCAAACACAGATGTTTAGATCAATTGAAAGCTCACCCAACTCTTTTTCCTCATTATGTCTTTGTTTTTGCCAAAACCCAGGGATGCAGGGTTCATTTCCCTTTTGGTTTTCTTTATAT